TTCAGGTCCCTCCTCCATGTCGGTCTTCTCTCCTGAGCCTCCGGTCTCTCGTTCCATCTCTCTCTCTCCTCCTCCTACTTCCTCCCCCCTCTCTCTCTCTCAGCTCTCCTCCGCCTCCTGCCTCTCTGTCTGTCTCTCTCTTTCACTTCTCCTCTCCCTCCTGCCTCTCACTCAGGGGACTGCAGAGCCCAAATGGCCGTTTGGGCTATGCACTCCCCGTGCTGCATGGAGAACGCAGATCCTGGCATCTTGCTTGCACCACTTGCTCCCACGTGGTGGCCCGGCTGAGCAGCGCAGAAGTCAGCTGAGTGTCACGGCGGGAAGGGAAGGGAGGGGTGGGATGGTGATGTACATGGCCAAGGAGTGGGGCCTGGGTGGGTGGGAAAGCAAGCTGCTCAACTCCTACTGTGCTTTAAATTGCTCCTGGCATCTTGCTTGCACCACTTGCTCCCACGTGGTGGCCCGGCTGAGCAGCGCAGAAGTCAGCTGAGTGTCACGGCGGGAAGGGAAGGGAGGGGTGGGATGGTGATGTACATGGCCAAGGAGTGGGGCCTGGCTGTGTACATCACCGCCCCGCCCCCCTTCGCCTCCCATCGTGGTGCTCAGCTGACTTCTGCACCACTCTGCCAGGCTGCCGCGGGGGAGCCCAAACGGCTGCTTGCTCCAAGTCAGCTGAGCCCCATGGTGGGAGCTGAAGGGGGGCAGGGCCTGGCCATGTATGTCACCGCCCCGCCCCACTGTGTTGCTTGGCTGACTTCTGCACTTGCTCCACTTGCTCCCCCGCGGCAGCCCAGCTGAGCGGCACAGAAGTCAGCCAAGCGCCACAGCAGGAGGCAAAGGGGGGCGGGGCAGTGATGTTCACAGCCAGAGGGTGAGGCCTGGAGCTGCTGTCACACCCCATGTCAGCGCCCAGTCCCCCTTTGCCTCCCACTGTGGCACTTGGATGACTTCTGCGCTGCTCAGCCGGGCTGCTGCGGAGGAGCAAGCGGAGCAAGCAGCCATTTGGGCTCTCCGGCAACAGCCTGGCTGAGTGGCGCAGAAGTCAGCCGAGCGCCATGGCGGGAGGCAAAGAGGGGCGTGAAGGGGGGGCGGGGTGGTGACGTACACAGCCAGGCCCCACCCCCTGGCCATGTACATCACCACCCTGCCTCCCTTTCCCTAGATAGACATGGTAATGGTTTATTAATCAAAATTATTTCTAAAATGTAAAGGAATGTTCATCTTAGATTGTTACATTCTAAAAGTGAATCAACATTCATTTCTCAAAGCTGCCATTTCTTTGTTAGAGGGATTTTTTTTCTCCAAAACTAACAGAAGGCCATTTAAAATGTGTATAAAGGAACTATTTCAAGATGTGTAGCTTCTCAGATCATTCCGAGCCTCAGTTCAAGTGCTGTGTCATAGGGAGATTCGCTCTAATTACGTAACAAGTGTAATTCTATTGTTATGTGCAAATCTCTACTCGCCCTGAATAGTGGAGCCCGTCTTTGTTGGCCTAGGACTGGCACTCCTGTGCTAAGGGGGAAAGCGATTAGCCTCTGTACCTGAGCTACTCTTGCCACTTGCAAATGGCTTGCGAGCGCCGGTACTGACTGGGAAAGCAATGCTGAAGAGCTGGGCGTGGGGCCCGGCGATGGGGAAGAGGAGGAGCCACCTGGCGCTGGCTAGCCTGCCGGGGGCGCAGCCAGCTTGCGCTCATTAGAGGGAGCTGTCGGACGAAGGGAGTCGCTCTTGCTGCAGTGAGAGCCCAGCTCCTGTCTCTTGCAGCCTCCGCTTCCTCAGGAACGAGATAGAAAGCGAGGGACCAGCAGCCACGGCAGAGAGCTAGTTCGGCTGCGGGGGTGGTAGGCAGCGCGGGGCCCAGGCAGCCAGAGCCGCCGGCGGCATGAATTCTTCGTGCCCCCCAGCGCCTGTGGGGACAGAGCCAGCCACGCGGAGGTATGGAGTCGCGGCTCGGCCTCTACCTGGAAGGGAGACCCAGCCCGATGGGCGTGCGGGAAGGGCTGGTACTCCTGCCTTCCTCCCTGAGAGAAGCACATTTCTCCCCGGGGCTCTCTTTTCCAGTGATGGGAGGTGGGGCAGGATCCCCCATGGCTCCTGCGGGACCCGCTTCTTCGGGAATGGGGTGGAGGGCAGGGTCCCCCGATTGCTCCCCGAGTGCCTGCCTTCCGGGAATAGGGTACAAGACAGGACAGGGTCTCCCCATGGCTCCTCCGGGACTCGCTTCTTCGGGAATGGGGTGGAGAACAGGGCAGGGTCCCTCATTGTTTCTCGGGGAGTCCCTTCCGGCCGGGAATGGGGTGGCGGGCAGGATCCTCCCCATTTACCCCGAGGGTCGCCTTCCGACGTTTCCGGAGGTGAG